CTCTTAAACCTGTCACTGCCATCAGGGTTGCATTTCTATTCCAGTCACGTTGATCACACCGTTAGTGATTCTGGATGACAATTATTCACACAGAGCAGAGCCATATTCAAGGCAGCTCTACCTCTGAAAGAGAGATGGCACTTAAAATACCTGAGCCCCTGTAGGAAAAAAAGAAGGAAAAAAAAAAGGGAAGAAGAAAAAAAAAACACACATACACTCTCTGGCTATTTGTGTTTTTGATTTTGCACTAAAATAGACATGCAGGAAATATGAAAATCACAAGAAATAGACTACGGGAATATTCATTTTGCACCTAAGAGCCCCTTTAAAACACATTTCTAAAGGGGAGGAACAAGGACCGCCATCTTCATTTCCTTCATCTAAAAACCACAAGTGGCTTTAATTTGGTTATTAAAAGACTAGAGCGTTGCGATGTGGCGCAATGCTATCGCTACGAGGAGAAGCCGTACGGTAACATCCCTGAGTGCGGTGAAGATAATGAGGAGGGCTTTTTAACCTGGCAACCTGATGCGCTCCCAGCCTGCAGAGGAAAGGCTTGAAACCGTGCCCAACTTCTCAGCTTCCCGAGAGGCTTTTCAAAATTCAATAAATATCTGTAGGCGATGTTGGGTGCAGACCTAGCAGAGTGCGTCATAACAGAGAGCTGGCTGAACAAAGAAACCATGACGACTGCCAGGTTTCCATGGCAACTGCTGCAAGGCCTGGAGAGTATAATAGCACATCAATCACTGTCCAAAAAGAACTTCATTATCAGCAAAAATAAACCTTTAGGATCTTTTTTACTGTGCAATTGCTGGTCAACTCACCTCAAAGCCCAGCTCCTTGGCGAACGTGGCCGCCTCCTAGAAAAGATAAACACACACACAATAAACACACACATAAATGAGCAGGTAATTACAGAGTCACAAACAGAGCACAATGTCAAACCATGGAGGTGAAGTAGAGACATCTCGCTTCCCTCCACGCTTCACGTGTCACTTGAGAATAAGTAACCTGAGTTAGCGTTGCTCTGCCAGCTCCTGATTTAATAGGCAGGCGGCCCACCCATTTAAACTATTACCCGACATCATCTCATCTTACCGCGGCAGCGAGAGATAACACCACATCAGCCTCCAGGCTTGAAACAACTACAGAAACCATGAATATGTGCTGGTATGTGGGAATCCCCTCCATGCTTTGGGCGTTCAGCAGTCGCCATACTTGTAGGTTGCTTCAGCCTCCTGGGAGGTGTACCTTTACATACCCAGGCGTTTGTTAATCCAAGAGTAATCTCTCACCATTCATGTGAACTTTATGACTTTTGCTATATGCTTCATTTTTAGATTTTCCAAAAACAGCCCCAAATTTAAAAAAAAAATTGGATGTGAAAAATAAAAACACAGAGCTTCAATTTGCAAATCTCATAAACTCACATTTTATTCTCAATGGAATGCAGGAAACATCAAATATTTGCACAAAAATAAACAAACAAAAAAAGGGACCATATTTGGAAAAAAAGAAGGTAACTTTGAATTTGACAGCAGCAACAGATTCTCAAAACGACTGGGACACGGGACACAAAAGGCTGTAGAAATAAGTGGTGTGAATAAGAAGCAGATGGAAAAGCATTTTGGAACAGATTATAATAAATGGCAACAGGTCAGTAAGACTGGGTACAAAAAGAGCATTTTCAGAGAACTGAGTCTCAGAAGTAACGATGGGTTCACCAGTTTAAAAAAACTGCATCCATATGTGATTGCCATACAGAAACGCTGCCGTCTCCTTTGTGTCAAAGCTTATTTAATGGACTGAGGAAAAGTGGAAAACTGATCTGTGACCAAATGAATCAAAAATATATTTTTTTGTTATTTTACAACTACAGACACTACATGTACTGTACAAAAAAAGGAGAGGGATCACCCGATCGGTTATCAGCACACAGGGCAAAAGCCTGTGTCTCTGATGGTATGGAGGTGCATCATTGCCTATAGCATGGGCATTTTTTCAGTTCAGAAAAGCATTCACAGTTGTACAGTGGTGGGCACAGTTCCCTTAAACACTAAAGCACTAATAGGGGAACTAATTTCCTGATAAGTGCTTTAGGGCTTTTGCTAATTTTAAAATTTATTAGTGGACTAGCATTTGCTAAATTTATAGACTAAATTTAGAAGCACTAACTGAGGTTTATAAATGTATTGATCATTGTTAATGTTCACAGCTGAGGGTAAAAGCTGATGCACATTTTGTTCATATATGTGTCACTTATTCACTAGGTGACAATATATGAACCCAAATACAGCTGTGGAATGTGAATGATAAGGTTTAAGAGAGCAACATGACAACATGTGACTCGTCTTTTGAAGAATGGTCATGGATTGACTGGGTTATTTTAGTGCTTTAGATTTAGCTTTTGCTAAAACTTTCAGTGCATTAGTGCTTTAGAATTAGGGGACCTAAATATTTGAGTTAGCGTTTTAGGGCTAGTGGAACTAATTTTTAGATTAGTGCTGCCCACCACTGCAGGTTTGAGACAAACATCTGTTACCATCCAGGCAAGGTATTTTTAAAGGGGCAATATTATGTGTTTCTCAGGCATACATTTAAATACTATACTTTAATAAAGTATCTATGTCATCTTTAACTGTTATTAAAATGCTGTTTTATGTTTAAATAGAAAATAAACTTATCTTCTCATCACTTCCTCTTCTTTTATTTTAATTTTTTTTAATCACTTCAGTAGAAAAAAAACTTAATATTAGTTTCTTAATTTCTTCACCATCAGTGATTTTTTTAAGTAAAGAGAAAATAGAAAAAGAGGGATAAACAAAGAGAAAAGTAATTAGAAAGATTGAAATTGAGATTAGAAGTATATTAAATATACACAAACAAAACACAGGACCACACACCCAACATCAGTCCGCTCACCTAAAAATAAATGGATAAATACATGGATGGCATACATAAATATATACACATACCCATACATATATAAAGATATACATACATTCATGCCTATATTCATACATATTGTAGATATACACACACAGACATATATACACACTCAGTGACCAGTCAGAACCCCCCGGATCAGAGCACCTGTTTGTGAGCAGTTGTGAACATGCGTGTATATATAAGATTTATGACATGAGGAAGTTCATCTTAAAGACACGTCCCAGGGGCGTTTCTAGTCCCCACCTGTCGTTTTGCTCCTCAGCATGGCTTCCTAAAAACGCTGCAGGATTTCTAAAACATGCATGAATGAGTCAAAGCAAGGCTTTGGACATGTTTTTTTATGAGAGTAAAACATTATAACATGATATAAAACTCAAAAAAGTTGATTTTATATGATATTGCCCCTTTAAGACAAGTCCTTGTATATTTCAGCAGGACAATGCTAAACCGCTACTACATCCATAACTACTGTACACATGGTTTTGTCTCATCAGTTCCTACACATTTACAGACTGTTGTTAAAATAAGAGGAAACACTTCAAAGATTTAAAGGTAGCCCCTTCTTGTCTTTTTTGAGATGTTGCTGCAATCAAATTCAAAATGACCTATTTTTTCGTAAGAAAATTTATAGAATTTCTTTATTTATATATTTATTTATGTTCATTGTAAAAAAAATTATACGAGCTTATGAGAATTGCAAATCATTGCATTCTTTTATTTACATTTTACACACATTTTAATTTGTTTCTGAGTCAGGGCTGTATATATTTTCATAATTTCAGCTAACTAATTGAAGCATTTAATGTCAAATTTGAAATATGGCTCATAAGTTTATTCCAATCAGACATAATTAATTTAATTTGACAGCAGCTGAGTAAAGTAGGCTGCAAATTGTTGTTAAAAAAAAGAAAGTATGATGTAACTTTAAGCTGCAAAACTCAAAATAAAATGGAATCAGAAAGAAAAATCTCAGAAACCACAACGATCCACTGAAAACTAGTCACTTTGGTCTGTTAATAGAAAATAAACCGAGTGATGTTTTCATGGTTTTGTAAAGTATTTCTTTCACTACGGCAAGATTTGGCCACATTCCTCGTCTTCAAGTGGAAACAGCTGCTCATTAATGCGATCAGTCATGTGAGTTACATGTTCGTTATGTCAAAACATTTTCACAAAAGGTGCTTTCACTATGCGGAAAAACTTCACTTTTATAAGATTTTGAAAAATCAGGAAGTAATGCTCTTTTTGTGGAACTGAGCTGAGTTTCTGGTAATTTCGCATCTACTAACAAGATATTCCACTGCACATTTTATCACAACCCCTATGAAAATAGGATGGATGGAGAATACAGCTTTTAATGTAATGCTTCATAGCAATTTCTCTGTCATAAAGAATACACAAAAACTCACTAGGCAAGTTTGATTTTACGTCCTAAAACAGTTATCATCTTATGAACCATCCCAGTGCATCTCTAGTTTACCCAAACTAGATTTGGACCAATCAGCTTCATTATCAGACGTGAACAATGGTGGCATATGTCCTTTGAAGAGCTTCGGTTTAAATGGTTTCAGATTATTTGATAGATAAACTGACGCTTCGCTCAATAACCTACTAAGTATTCTTTGAAAATGACTTCCCTTTTCAATCGATGTTTTAAGAGAACTTCCCAGATGGTTGTATGTAACAAACCATCTGTTAGGTCAGGGTACCTTTGGTTACCATATGGCCGACACAAATTCATGTTATGCATTTGGGCTTATTTTTCCAAATGTTGGTTTTATGTACAGTATTCCGATTGCTAACAGATTGCACAATACCTWTGTTTAAAAGTCTGCTGTTGCCTGTATGGAGCCAACTCTGTTAGCAAAATACAGTATCTTGTAATTTGTAGATAGTGTGTTAGCAAAATATCTTATTCACTAATTGTTTACCTTTCTAGTTCTTTTATCGATCGAATCAGGAGACAAGTTTCTTAAACATTACAGAATGGGAACCAGAGACGTTATTTAAGTTTATTATCATCTACTCAAACGTGTCAGATGTTTTGTTTAAAACCAAATTAAAAGAAACATTACAAATAATTGATTGGATGAACCAGCTTTTGTTCTTAGCTGGTAATTGGCTCAAATTTAAACAGTCAATCACGAAGACAGATTWACAGATTTATTTCTAAACAAATCAGATAAACCAGCAAGTCAAGTCAATCAAACTGACTGCTACAATCGACAGACCTTAGAAAACACGGCCATAATTCAGCCAATTTTAAATATATCAAACCCTTGGTTGTGAGAGAAGCGGAGAGTCATTCACAACACATCCTCTGAGCACATCACATGAGACTGGGCATCACACTACTTTCAAGGTTTCAATTAAAACCTACAACTCCATCATTCCTCAACATATGATGATTTTAATTTCTGGCATGAAAGGYGGCAGGAAATAAAGTATGTAGATAATCTGTGAAACAACCAAAACACTGTTTCTGGTTCGACCTCAAACAGCCTCCTGCTAACTGATACTTTAGAGAAAGTCCTTCAAACAAGTGTACGTTTTATTAGGAAAACAGGAAAACATTTTAATACACACACACAGACAAAAAAGGACTATCTTTAACATGTGAGATCCCATATGTGGTTCTAACTAAACAGGCCRCACTATGATCTGTTAACTGATGACAGAAGCTGTTGTATTGTCAACGCCACAAATCATCCATCTAGATCGCTGAGCTCCATTCTGATCTCAGATGGGACAATAAGTTGATTTTATGATTCTAAATAATCCAATTATCTGTGTGAGAGAGAGGGGGTGGCTGGGGTTTGTGCGACCTTGGGGAGAGGTTGGCAACCTGCTCCTCAAACAGAAGGGGAGGAGATGACATGGAACGCGAAGGTTACCRGTCCCTGGAGAGACT